AAAAAATTAATTTACTATAGAATGGAAAGAGACCATGTGTTATGAGACATTAAAAAAAAAAAAGAATTGTCTACAGTGAGACGAAGGAAATATATATGAAGATAATATATTTTATTAATGATACTTATTTAAGGTAATATTTTCTCCGTCTCACATATCATGTTCATGTTGCTGTTTTTGTCCGTCCCACATACCATGTCATTTCTATTTTTTTGGAAAATAATTATACATTTTAATTTCATTTTAAAATATTTAATTTTTTTTTTTCAATTTTAATTAAATTAATTAGTTATCTTAATCTTAATTTATAATTATTTATATTATAAGATAATTATTTTTACTTATACATTCTTAATTATCTATTAATTATACCCTTTCTAAAATACCGTGTCTACAGTGTAGCAAACACTGTATGTGGGACGGAGGGAATATAAAATAGTAAGTTATTTATAATAGTATAATATGATATTATTTTATTAGTTTTATGTTAGTAATATTGATACTATTTTAAAAGAAAATTGTGTGTTTTGGTAAGATTTTGAGTTTGATTTTATTATTTTATTTTTTAAAAATATTAAATTAAATATTTATTTATTATTTATTATATTATATTAAAATTTAATTTTATATTCAATAGATTATATTTATATATATTTGTGTCCCATCAAATAATTATTTAATATATTAATGGAAAAACAACAACCGAAGGATTTGATATAAACCCTCAATCCAACGGTAATAAATGAATCTTGCATATGGCAATGGGCCAGATGGGCCGAGTGGATTGAATATTAATAGGTTGGAATTAGGTTTCAACATTGATCATGGCCCAAAATTTAATAATATTACATTATATTTTATTTTTTCCTCAAATTTATAAATATATATATATTTTTTTTGTGTAATTATAAAAGAAAATGTCCATGATTTATTACAATGGAAATCTTCATAATTTTAACTAACAGAAATAATTAATATTTTATTTAGAAAAATAATAAAATTAAATGATAGTTAAAAATATTTTGATAAATATACTTATAATTGAAAAAAAAAATAATGTAATAAGAGAAATAATTTTTACTGTAAATAAGTGTTTAATAAAGAGTGATAAATTATTTATTGTCCTCTTTTATTTTATCAAAATTAATAGAGGGTAAATTTGTCTTAATATTACTTTTAACCATTTATTATAATTAAAATATTAATATTTTAAAAATTTTACTTAAAATGTAAATATAAGAGAGACGAAGAAAATATTAAAGTTCGTTTTGGGAGAAATTCTCAAAATTCTACTATTTATTATTTTTCTCTTTTAAAAATATAAAATAAAAAACCTTCTAATTTTATTTTTTATATTCAAAATATAAACACTTATCCATATAGCATTATATAATTATTACAATTCAAATTTTTTACTATTCTAATTTCAACTCAAAATCCAAACTCCCGAACAAACACACCCTAAATGTATTTAAATAAAAAACATAAATTAAATCTTTCCAATTGAAACTCAAATAAACACACATTATATACCCATCTATTATCATCAAACAGATTGGGTGTGTTTGTTTGTGGGTCTTTGGTTTTGGATTTGGACTTTTGAATAATAAAAAATTGAGTTTGAATAATTATTTAATGTGATATAAATAGAAGTTAATATAATATTTTGAATATAAAATAAATTTATAGTATAATATAAATAAGATAATTGTTTGATGTGATTTTTTTTTTAGAAAAAAAAGAATTTAAACGCTCTCTCCGTCTCACGAGAAGGATATCATTTTTTATTTTTGTCTATTCCCAAAAGAACTATCATTTCACAATTTAGTAACTGTACTATCTATTTAACATAATTAATATCCTTACAACTTTTAATATATTCTACAAATGCTGTTACTTTTTTATCACACAAATGCCGTTACTAATATTAAAAAATCTATTTACAAAAAACAAATACTCCCTCCGTCCCAATACAATCGTCTTGTTTACTATTTTTGTCCGTTTCAAAATAATAGTCTTATTTCCATAAATAACTATATCACCGTAAAATTATCTATACTTTTTCATTATTATTACACAATTGTCACTACTTTTTACACTAAGACCCTCACAACAGCAAAAAAGAAAATTAATTTATCTTTACTTTTTACCAATTATCCATATAATATCAATATTTCTTAAATCTCATACCAAACGCAATAAGATTATACTTTTTGGACAAAAAAAAAATTATTTTTTTGGAGGACGGAGTTAGTAGTAAAATTCTATGGTAAAGAACACAAAAGAACGGAACCATTAGAAAATAGAATTTTCTTGGGAATCAACAGGGATGATAATTATAAGATGAATCTTATATATGTATTGTGTTATAGTAGTTCCTATTTGAAGAAGTGTTTGTTCATGGGGAATCATTACTTGAAAACTGCTTCATTATTCCTTTCTCCTTAGGGCAACTGCAGCTATATACAAAATCTGTGTTTCCAATTCTCATAACATTCACTCATTCATTAGGGTTTGTCTAATTAATTTGTGGACAGACATTTCTTTTTGCTCCCTTGATCCCTCGAAAGATTCAAAGTTAAGATTATTGGGAACACAAACAAACAAACAATCCTAAGTTAAAAGAAAGAAAGAAAGAAATATCGATATGTCTCTGTGCCTGCCTGAAACAGACAGACATGCGCCATTGGCAGTGGAAAGCTCTACCTTGCTGTGCCTCCATTTATCGAATTTAATTATTATTTATCATTAGTTATTTACTCCATTATTGTGTACTGTATTGGTTTTTAACAAACAGTCGAAGAAATTAGATCAAAGATCCTTTCTTTCTGCAGCCATGGCGGTGTGCAGATTAATTAATTCTCTCTCTCTCTCTCTCTCTCTCTCTCGCTTTTTCTGCACTCCAAAAGATATATAATCTCACTCTCTATCTCTTTAATTGAATTCAATTTAAGATTGATTGATGTAATGATCAGATCGATATCAGATTCTGATTCAGATTCAGATCGAAACCCCCTTTTGCATCCCGGATTTCCAGCCCAAATCAATCATAAATTCCCACGCAATTCTGATGACAACGACGTCGTTTTCCCTCCCCCCAAACAAGGAGAACTCTGGAATCTGAAAATTGGATGGATGGATGGATGGAGACGATGAATTGATGGTGGATTTGTCGAAATTAATCAATTAATTAATTTTAATTTCCAGTTAGGGTTGACAAAATTAATGTTGATAGGAGTTTTATTATTAAGTAAATTAATTATATCCATTTTCTGATTTTGCAAACCCTAGGCGTACGTTAGGTGATGGGATGGACGATCGAGGCCGTTGGTGCTGTGGGTTGCTAGTGATAATGATTAAATGGACGGCGTCGATTGCGCCGGACCGCAGATCCCGGGAGCGGCAAGTTGGTGATTGTGATAGATGTGAATGATGGGAAAACGTAGATGCTGTCAGGAGGAGGAGAGTATATCCTGAGACTAAACTCAAACTCAGACTTCAAATATAAATAATATTTTGTCTTACTCTTTTTCTATCGGTCAGTTCTATATAATTTATTTATTTTTTTTAAATATAACTATATATTATGATATTTTAATTTTTTTTATTTTAATTAAATTATTTTAATTTTAATATATAATTATTTTTACAAATATGTTTTTTAATTATTTATTAATAATATCATACCAAGACAATGTGTTTTAGTTGAAATGGACAAATTAACTGCACGAATAATATAATATATTACTAATGTCTTCGTCCCAAAAGTATAGTCTTATTGTGTTGAACAAGAGATTTAAGAAATATTGATATTATATTGGTGGTTGGCAAAAATGATAGATAAATGACTTTTTTGCCCTTGTGAGTATATTAGTGTAAAAAGTAGTGACAAATGTGTAATAATAATGAAAAAAAAGGGATAGTTTTACGGTGATATGATTATTTATTGAAATGAGAATATTGTTTTGGAACAGACAAAAATAATAAACAAGACTTGTATTATGATGGATGGAGTATTAGTTAGTGAAAATTAGTAAAAAAATTTGATATTTTTATCATTTAATTTTATGTATGATTAAATAATTATATGCTTAATAATATATTTGTAATTTAGATAAAAAGTAAAATTATTTTGATATTAATATACAATTATCTATATAAAAAAATAATTTAAAATAAAATAAATACAAAAAAATATTTTTAATTGGGATAGACTTATTATAAAAACTCAAATTCAGACAAGGACAAGAATATTTTATTAAAACATCAAATCCGCCCACTACATTAGATAATTAATGCTAATACAATGCTCCAACCGTTTCACAGAAATACGCGACTTTCTTCAAAAGATGATTATTTTTCAAAAAACACTCTCTATTATCTATTTGTTCTCAATTATTTATTAAATTATAAAGATATTATTAAATATACAATTATTTTATATATAAAATCAAAATATAAAAATATTATAATATTTTATATATTTTTATTAACTAATTAAATAAAATTATTTTTTAATTTATTATAAAATCCCAAAAATCCTTCGAATTGGGACTAACAGAGTAATTACTTTTGAAATAACACTCTCAATATAATATTTTCATTTTTAATATATATACTTTTATTTAAATATTCTTTTCGTTTCACATATCATGTCGTATTTTTTATTTTCGTTCGTCTCACGTATTATGTTATTTTTGAAAAAATATTTTCTATTTTAGTGATATTTTAAAATTTATAATTCATAATTTTTTTTAATTCTTATTAAATTGATTAATTATTCTAGTTTTAATATATAATTATTTATATTATAATGTATTTTTATATTCTCTCTATCTCATCAAAATATAGCATATAAATATTTGCCTTAAAACTGCAGGTCTATTTCTTTAAAGAAAAACACTACCAATTTATTAGAAACAGAGGCAATATTTATAAGAACATTACTATAAATTGCAGAGCTAAACCCCGAGTTGTTTCATTACCACAAAACACTCCAAATGGTACTCAACAATTCCCAAACGTCTACACACACTAATAACAGACGTCCATTCCCTCCGGTGCCATCTCCTGCAGTTCCCTACGATTATACCCAAAGTCGCATGTCCGCCGACTCCCCTCCCGGCGCCGGCCGCCGGAGCCCTCCGATCCTCGAAGGAATCGCCGCCGTCGTCGGAGAACACGTCCTGTTCGGCGGCAGCATCAGCCACAACCACACCGAATCTCCGATCGCCGGCGAAAACCGAAACCCGGACAGCGCCGCCGCCGCGCCGAGGAGCTACCGGGGAGTGAGAAAGCGGCCGTGGGGGAGGTGGTCGGCGGAGATTCGCGACCGCATAGGGCGGTGCCGCCACTGGCTGGGGACGTACGACACGGCGGAGGAAGCCGCGCGTGCCTACGACGCGGCGGCGCGTCGGCTCCGGGGGGCTAAAGCGAGGACCAATTTCCAAATTCCTTCCGTCTTGCCGTCGCCGAGCTCTTCCAACTCTTCCTCCTCCGGCCGGCCGGAGAAGAGAATCCGGCCGAACAGTAAATTGCAGAAAAAATGCTCCGTTGTAACTTCTCCGGCGCATCTTTTCGGGCCGGGCGGGCCCGGCCCTCCCGAAATAAAGGCGGGTAATGGCGATGTCGGGCTGGAGCTTGGTCTGAAACTCGGTCGAGATTTTAGGGCATCAATGGTGGCTTAAGTATTAATAATTAATAATAATATTATTATTATTATTATGAATGAAGTTTGGCTGTTTGTTTGTGTTTTGAGAATGATCATCGATCTTGCAATATATGGTTAATTAATTGGTTTATTTACATTGTTATTATTATCACTGGAAATTAATTCATTGTCTTTCTCCATGAAATATTTCACACCCACAAAACCCTAATTTCCCATTTCCTACAAATATTTATAAAACGATTTTTAGGATCGTAGTGCAAATTGAAGTTGGTTAATTGTTAAAAAATTATAGATATGGTTACACGGAGTCGTCCGTTCCATAACAATATATTTATTTTTTTATTTTAGTTCGGTTTATAACAAAATATTCTTTTACCTGCACTATCTATCTAACATTACAAATATGCTTATAATTTACAATATATTACAAAAATATTATTATTTTTATATTATATATATTAATAATATTTTTATATTATATATATTAATAAAATTATTTTAGTAATTTTTATATATATTGTTCCTTAACTAGGTAGATTATTATTATTTAAAAACCGAATATGATGAAAGAAATAAATAGATTATAACCTTTTATATCCGCTGCCTGCATATCATATTTGCTTTCTTCAGCTTTAACTGTCTACTTATCAATCTTAGAGTATTAATTAATTACCTAGCAATCTTTTTTATGACCCATCGCATTATACCAATGCACTTTGAGTCCTTGATTTTTTTTTTTTAATTTTTAAATTGGAGTCCTGGATTTTTTTTTTTTATTATTTTTCAAATTTATATTTTTATTACAACTGATATATACATTTAATATTGTAATAAAATGTGTACTGCAGACTGCTCAGATACTTTGGATTCAAAAGACACAACACATGACCAACGGAGAAAATTTCTTATTACTATTATTATTTCTCTTATTACTATTATTATTATTTTAGAGAAATTAGTGTGTTTCGATTAGAATTTTAAATTTAAATTAATATTATTTAACTCTTGTAATTCTTAATAAAAATGTATTTTCTTCGTCTCAAACACTGTGCAATATTTGTATTTGACACGAAAATTTAGGTGAGGAGTATTAAGTAGAGTAATTTGAGATAATTTAAATATTAAATAATGTGATTTGAGAGATAAATGATTATTTGTTTTTTTGTTTGAGCGATATGATGAGATAAAGTGAAATGTATATTATCAATTATTTTTAAATTTAAAAATATTGCAATAAATTTGGAACAAAATAAAAAAAATATATATTGTGATGTTTGGGACCGATGGAGTATTATTCTAATAAAACCTAATAAAACACATGGGTGGATATTCTAATATTCACTCTAGGCAATTTTTGAATATATTTTATTTTGAAATGTTTTCCAAGGCTTTTTTATTTATTATTTGATGTTTTATTTCAATTTTTTTTAGACAATTCTTACAATTCTCTTAAAATTATGTATACCTTTCTCACAAAATTTTCACATTCAAACTTCGATTTAAACCAAAATTCAAAATCAAGACATGATACACAACAAAAGACAAGATGTGCTTAAATAATTTGTATTAATTAGTTGGAATCATTTTACGATCATATAATACAACTAATTCGAAGTGTCGACAAAAGCCCGCCAAAAAGCTTTCATTTAAAATCGGAACAAACATACATCTTAGCCTATAAAAAATACTTCGATGAAAGAAATTGATAGGACAACAATGATGTAATGCCCATACAAAGCCACATAGGACAAAACCATCATTGATGAATCGGAAAGCAACGTCGCGTCGCCGCCAAGAAACTTATAAACCAGACGTTGTCGAGGCGCAACTTCCATTCTTACTATCATTGCTATTACCACCTCAATCCTAACAGGAAGTTAGCCTTATTCTTCGATATATCAAAGGAGCGTTCATATACACATAAATACATATACCTTGGTAGATCGTCTAGCTGACCCCCAAAATAGTATCGGGGTTAGGCTCGTCGAAAGGAATGTTTAAATCAGGGAGGAAGAATGTGCGATCGAAGGATGTCGAAGAAACTTCCGGAAGCTTCTTTGGAGGAATGGCGCGACAATTTGTTGATTCCGGCGTGTGTGTTTGCAAATCAACCTACCGACGACCGAACAAACGCACATTTCACGACTTCATTTCATTATTATTCGAAAATTTAAGCTCAAAGATTTTAGAATTTTGAAAACTATTTTTTAGAGTAATAAAAAATTAAATATTTGATGTGATTTTCTCTTTAAAAAAATACAGGCATGGATCAGTTGTTGGTTTAATCAAATCAAACATTTTGTTGATTTGATCAGATCAACATATGTTATAGTGGTGACCAATATATATTTATACATATTTCAGCATATTTATAATACAACATATATTATATTATATTGCTGAGATATGTATAAATATATATTAGTCTACCATATGACATGTACTGACGCAATCAAATCCATGCTGACTTGGCCGGATGAGCACATGATCTCCGACCAAATAATACTATTAGTGAATAATGTAATTTTTTTTCGAAAGTATGCATGTAAACAGGTTATTATGGGAACAAAGTGAACAATTTTTCAAAACTCGACACCTTAATTCTCTTCAAGCTTTCATTAACGGCTCGGTGTCTCTCTAGGCTTGCACGCGCCGAAGATATTTCCTGAGAGGTAGCGCGCAATTGTGATCGAGAAACAAGAAATTTAACTGCGGACAAAGTTCCAAACTCGCCATCGAATAGAAAATTACCCTTTTCAAGTTTCTCCTTTCCTTAAAAAGCGTATGCTCTTCGCTTTTGAGCTGCGCCAACGTCTGCGCATAGACCGGCAACAATTTAAATTAATTAGAAAGCAAAACGTCGCGCCAAACAGCAAAGATACATAACAATATATATTGCAATCAATAGTCCATCAAATATTTCTTTTGTTTAAAAATTTACATTAAAAAATTATACTCTCTGTCCGACTATAAATTATATATATTTCTATTTTAAAACCTATAATTATAAAGTAATTATTTCATTAAATACTTTTACCTTACATCACATCATTATTTTTATACCAAAAAATAAGAGCAAAAATATTATTACACTACTTTTACCTACCCACTATAATTAAAATACTATTATTTTTTAAACTCCGTTCAAAAATTAAATATATACTTACTGTTTAGACGGATGGATGAAGTATTTTATTCAAAATATTACATTCCATGCCTATAGCATTATCTACTTCTTCCCTCAATCAACAAGAAACATATTATATTATTTAGTAAGTGCGGACATTATAATAGTATAAATAAAATTATGAGTTTGTTCACTTAGAGTGTGTTTGTTTGGGGGTTTGAATTTTGAGTTGGAATTTGAATAGTAAAAATTTTGAATTTGAATAGTTGTATGATGTGATATAAATAGGTGTTGATGTGATATTTTGAATGTAAAATTGATTTTTAGTATAATATAAAAAATGAAAAATTGATGTTTGATTTGATATTTTTTGAAAGAAAAAATTGGATGAACAGTGTAAATCCAATACAATCAGTGTTTTTAGGTGGTACGATTTTTTTTAAAAATATTATTTAGAAAAATAATATATAATATATAATCCTTCTGTTCAGAAATTTTAGTCTCACTCTTTTATAAAAATTGCAAAAGAATGAAATTAAATTTATTGGATGAGATGAGTATCTTTTATTAATTCATAAATAAATCAATTCAACACAAAATATTTAATATTTATAATTACACCTACCTAATATAAAAAACACACAAAGTGAATAAACCCTAATTATTTCATTCGAAAGTATCAAACAATAAATATATTTATATTTGATAGATCTAATAAGTATGGTTTTTTATTTATTTAGAACACACTTATTTTTTTTAATTTAAAATATTATTACAAAATACAAAAGAACAACAAAATATGCTTATGTATATATACATATATATACCTTCTTCTTTCGTGATCTTTTGGAAGCTTTGTCACTCTCAATGGCAATGCTCGTCTGCAACAACAACATTAATTACTTAAACATAACCTTAACATCTCTAGCTAATTGTCTCAAAATCAACTTATTAATTACTATAATAATTTTCACATCAAATGTAATAAATCATAATAATAATAATAATAATATATATATATATATAAAAACAAATAGCATATGAATGTGGGACTTGCATATTTCAAGTGGGTTTGTTGATTTGGTACTTCTAACCCACCATTATAATATATTCATTCAAATCTTACATTAGATTTTCACTTATCAAATACTCGGAGGGTATTATTGTCATCTCACAGGAAGCTACAAGAAGACGATTCGATCAGGCACTGAATACCCATATCTACGGAGGGTAATCTCGTCATTTCAGTGCGCCATAGAATGACACGTCACACAAGGTCGCCGGATAAAGTCAAAGACACGGATGACGAAAGCGGATCGCCGCCGCCGACGGTTGCCGGGAAATTTAGGAATGTACTTATGAAAACTAAAAATTATCACTACAGGCGGCGATTAATTCGCCGGAGAAAAAACGAACCTTAGATCGCGTCGTTATGAAGGAAGGTCGCCGGGAGGACTCCTCCGACGCGGCGGCGCCGCCCCAAGAAAGCGGCGTGGTCGGACTGGGTTTCCTCTCCTTGTCGTTGACCGGAATCGATCTTGACCGGCGTTGACGGACGGTCCATTCCAGCGGGTTGACTTCGCCCTCCTTCGGCGGCGGCCCGCCGAGTTTCACGAGTAGCTTCACCACCAGAGTGTCGTCGGCCATGGCGGCCCGAACCCAGCCGTCGGAGGCGGCGGCGGTCATGGATTTGGGAGAAAAGGGAAATGTTGGTGGTGGTGGCAATGGAAATCTGGAAAGAGCTGCAGACAGCGTTTGTGCAGTTATAATGAGGTGGGTTTTTTAATATTTTATTTTGGCAAATTGCCCAAAATCCTCTGTGATTTTACAAATTAGCTAAAATGTCTAGAGATTTTAAAATTACAAAAAATTTATTTGTGGTTTTTAAAATGTTGCAAATTCTCTCGTTTCTAAATTTGATTAACGGATGTTAATTTTTTATCAAATTTGACACTTATACCCTTATTTATATTTCCTTCGTCTAAGCAATAAGTATATATTTACTTTGGGCACGGAATTTAAGAAATAATAGTATTTTAATTATAGTTGGTAGGTAAAAATAGTGTAATGATATTTTTGCCTTTATTTTTTGTATAAAAGTAACGATGTGATGTAAAATAAGGGTATTTGTGAAAAAAAATAAGGGTATTTAATGAAATAGTTACTTTGCAATTGGACGTTTCAAAATAGAAAAATGTATACTTTGTAGCTGGACGGAATGAATATATTTTTAATTTGTTTCTCTTTCTTCTCTTTTTTTTTTTTTTTCTTCTTTTCTTCTTTTTTATCCATAACTTTTTTCTTCCATCTTCTTCCTCTAAATTCTTCACGCGCGCAGCTTTTTCTTTTATTCTTTTTCCTCAAATTTCTTTTTCCTCCAATTATTTTTCATGCCGTAACAGTCCTGATTCATTATTTTCTTCTTTTTTTGTATTTTTTCTTCTTTGAAGAACGAAGGATGAGAGAATAAGAAGAGAAAGAAGACGTCCGGTAAAAGAGGCTGGAGTAGGGAAGAAAGAAAGAAGAAGAGAAAGAGAAAGAAATAAAAGAAGGTGAAGAAAAAGATGATGAAGAAGCGCTGGACAACAGACACCAGATTCTTCTTTATTTATTTATTTTTTTTTCCTCCCCAATTTTTCTATACGCCGCTACAACCAACAGACACCAGATTCTTTCTTTTTTATTAGATTAATTTTTTAAATTTTTGGGTATGGTAAAACACAAGAATAAATCGATAACTTACGCATTGTTGTCTCCATCTCTAGGTATGGTCGATTAATTGTATTATAAATTTGAGATTGATATTAAATTTGGTTCTGTTTAACGGATTTAAAATGAAAAAAAATTTGAATTGAGATTAAATTCTAAAAGTGTGCAGAAGAAGAAGGAAGATAAAGAATGAGGAAGAAAGAGCTAGGGTATTTTAGTAATTTTATACAGAAATATATCAGTTTATGGACTAAAAATAGCATTTCAGGCGTGTGATATACAACCGTCGTTAAATCCTAATGGAGGGGGGGATTTTTGGCAACATTTTGGAAAGTTTAGAACCACGAGGAATTTTCAACAAATTCGAAAAACCACAAGGGGATTTTATCATATTTTGCCATTTATTTATATTTTCAATAAAATAAAATTTATTTAAAAATTTAGTATTTTAGAATTAAAACCTTTTATCATTGAATTTGACCTAAACTAAAAATTGCATATAAAATATTAAAATAAACATATTAGTCACTACCAATTAACATATTGATTGAATTTGACCTAATTTTATAATTACATTTACTAATATGTCTAATATTTTATTCTAAATATTAGTAGCATTTATTAAAAATAGTTAATATCTAACTTATGTACTGTTATACAAAAAATGAAGCAACACAACTAATAGCATCTATCGAATACGCATGCAATGATTTCCCTAACAATAATTGACAGAATTTGATTTTAATATTTAAATCGATAATAATGATTAAAGATTCTGCCAGCTTTGCAACTTAAGCAGTTTTTCGTTGTTTAGCTTCCTTTAGTCGTTTTCGCTCAACCTTCTCGATCTCAAGATTAAATATTAGTTCACATGTACGAGAAGAACGGGGTATAAACTTGAGGATAAATAAAAATAACACGAAAGAGTAAAACAAAGAGCCAATCCCTGGAAACGGCGCCAAAAATTGACCTGTCGCGCGGTTAATCAAATATTTCACCTATTCCGTGATCACAATTTAATGTAATAAGGGGAAGGAATCGTCTCCACAGGGATTGTGTGATTCACTCTTTCGTGTTCTAATGCAGTAAATAATTGGGGAGAATTTTTTTATTATCTAGTGAAAATAAAACAAGAAAGCAATTAAATTAAGGCGGAACTAGCTATTAAGGGGATGTCTGGCTCAAGGGATGATGCAGTTATGACACTTGTGTTTTATCATTGATTCACTAAAGTTGGTTCTTATTAAAGTATCAATAAATTGGTTATATTTATCAACAAGCTCTGACAACCAATTTTTCCTTACAGTGTAGGTAATTAAGGTACGACCGTTAACTACCCCTAATTAAGCAAATAAACCTAGGTGCGCCAATAAGAAATATTGTCTAATCACATTCTAATTTAGAAAAACCTAATTCAAAACAATTACTACCTAAGAGGAGCAATTATATTTGATTGTCTAACCCCCGGGAAGGAACTTTTAACCCGGTTGTCACCTATTAAAGTGCGAATACAATTACGGATATCCTACCTGAATTGACTTTAGATTATCAAACTAATTCAAATATTGGTACCAAAATATGCAATCAATCTAACAATCACAAACGTTATTATCAGAATTACACAAATATTGATAATTAAAAAGAACTTTTATAAAGAAAATTAAGAATCTCCAAAACAAAAGAACCAAAATATTATCACCCCTAAAACCAGAAAGATATCTACTCCATAATCAAAGAACAAAGAACAAAAGAGAAAGATAAAGTCATAGTGGGAGGGGAAATCTTCTCTGTCGATTTGCTCTTGCGCGATCTATGAGTCTATCAGTCTTCTGCTCATGTACTTATTTGCTCTGGCCGTTCCCCTCCTCATGTGCGTATCTGCTCTGGCCGTTCTCTCCTCTCCTACGTGTGATCCTCCATTTTTATTTAATTTTTGTCCTAATTATTTTGTAGCTATGATTTTAGGCCTTTAATTAAATTCTCATATCATGAGGGTATAATTAGCCATGGTCATGACTAACTTGATTGTCCAATGCTGATTTTTTTTTCTTTTATTTTTCTCCAAATTCACCAAAATTGTCTTTTACTTCCTGCATGTCGGAAATAAACAATACGCACCGAAATTAGGCAGAATCTAATCAAAATCAATTAAATATCACATATGGTATGAAAATAAAATACATGCGATTTCTAACTATCAATTATTATTATATTGCACACATCAACTTTAAATAAGTATAATAATAATTTGCATATACACTGAATTGTAATTAGATTCTTTGAATTGTAATATCAGGGGGTATTTTTTTATTGGTAATTTTTCTATATTTCGGTTTTATTTAATTATTTTGATCAAATATTTGGATCAGTGTTACAAAATTGTAAATATTGAATAATAGAAATAACAACCCATAATTACTATAATATATTTGCAACATATATGTTATGTAACACAAAATAGATAACTGTTTACGGCACAATTTTATTTATATATAGTTTGACTTCAATGATTATTTGAATGAGATTGAAATTCGATGAGTAAACAATTATATAGAGTACTTTATAATACACTATAAATAACTTATAAATTATAGTGAACCAACTATCTCATCATACCCTATTAGTAACACATCAAGGTGTATTTTATTTGTGTGAGTTAGGAGTGAAAATAGACCAGGTGGCCTACCAGGGGCCTACAGCCTAACCTGCATAAGGCCCGGCTCAGCCTGGCCTACTTATTCAAATAATTCGATATAAACTTATTTTAAAGCCTATTTAATTCATTAGAATAGGCTTAGGCTTTACGAAAAGCCTTTTAGGCCTATCAAGCTAGCCTATATATATATATATATATATATAATTCTAATTTAATATATAGGGTTATTATATATTTATATTTTAAAAAAAATAATTTAGTGATAATAACCAAATATGAAATTGATTAGTTGTAACTATAATTATATATACATAAAATAATAATTGCATTTATATTTTTTTACTAATATTAAATTTTAGAAAATAAAAAATTAATTATTATATAGGCTTTTAAATAGGCTCGTTGGCGATGTAGGCTTAAAAATAAGCCAGGCTCATGCTGTATAATTTTTTTATTACATGCTAATAGGCCAGACTCAGTCCTTAATTTTTTCAAAATAGACCTAGCCTGTTTAGCCAAAGTCCGGCCTGGCCTGCCTATTTCCACCCTTGGTGTGAGTTCTTAAATAATTCTCAATAAATTTTTTTTTTTATTTTTTTTGGCAAAATAGCAAAACATCTCCATGTGGTTTTACGAATTCGCTGAAAATCCTTTGTGGTTTCCAAAATGTTGCGAACACTCCCCCCTCTCTAAATTTGACTAAAGTACGTTAAATTTTTATCAAATTTGACAGTTATACATTTATTTATATATTTTTAATTTGTTTCTCTCTTCTCTTTTTTTCTCTTTTTTTTCTTATCCCTAACTTTTTTCTTCCATCCTCTTCTTCTTCCCCCAAATTCTTCACACGCGCAACTCTTTCTTTTATTTTTTTTCTTTATTTTTTTTTTCTTCCTCAATTATTTTTAATGCCGTAGCAGTCCCGGTTTTTCCTTTTCTCCTTTTTCCGTAATTTTTTTTCCCTTCTTCTTCATCTCCAATTCTTCTTTGAAGAATGATGGATTAGAGAATAAGAAGAAAAGAAGACAACCGGTAGAAGCGGCTGGAGCAAGAAAGAAAGAAGAAAAAAATTGAAGAAAAAAGAGAAGTGCAAGAAGAAGACGATGAAAGGTTAGGACAACAGGTTCTTTTTTTTTCCCAATTTTTTTTATTATTTCTCTTTTTTTTCCCCAATTTTCTTTGTTTTTTTTTATTTTCCTCCCCAATTCTTCTTTCTTCCTCAATTCTTCCGTTGCAATCAACATACATCAGGTTCTCTCTTTCTTCTTAAATTGATTTCTTAAATTTTTGGGTTTGGTAAAACATAAGAAGAAATCGATAACTTACGGATTCTTGTCTTCATCTCTATGTTCGGTTGATTAATTGTATTATAAATTTGAGATCGATTTCAAATTTGGTTATGTTTAACAGATTTATAATAAAAAAAATGAATTAAGATTAAATTCTAAAAGTGTGCAGAAGAAGAAGGAAGATGAAGAAAGAGGAAGAAGAAGCTAGGGTATTTTAGTAATTTTTTTATACAAAAATATATCAGTTTATGGACCAAAAATCGCATTTTAGGCGCGTGATATACAACCGTCAGTTAAATCCTAACGGATGGGGGATTTTTTGCAACATTTTGGAAACCACAAATAGGTTTTTTGAAAATTTAGAACCACAAGGGGTTTTCAGCAAATTCGGGAAACCACAGGTTTTTTTTTTTTTTTTTTGTTATTTTGCCTTTTATTTTTGGTGTATTTGCTGGGAGGATTATCCAAAATTTTCACTATTCATGAATATTTTTTTCTTCAAAAATATTAAATCAAACATCTATTTTTTATTTTTTATATTATACTGTAAATTAATTTTATATTCAAAATATCAAATCAACGCCTATTCAATCACATTATACAACTATTTCAATTCAAATTTTTTACTATTCACGTCCCAACTCAAAATCCAAATCCCCGAACAAACACACCCTTTATTTATTTATTTGAGGTCATAATAATTACACACTTTCTGTCTCGATTCAAATGGGTTATTTGATATTTTGTAGTATAATAAGAAAAAAATAATATTTTATTAATTAATGGAAGTATGTAAGAGATATTTTGATATAATGTATGATTATTTTTACTATAATATGAAATAAATACTTTGGAGCAGAATAAAACAAAAATTGTGAGAATGATGAAGTATTATTAATAAATACACGAGGGGTGACATGAGTGTTTATTACTCTATCGTATATTACACCATATTTATAACAAATGATATAATTTTTAGTGAAACAAATAAAAGTAATAAAGTAAATACTTTGAATTAAAATAAAAAACTACAAATTTTTTCTTAGAAAATATATTTTCATCGCCCGTTATAATGATATCAATTTTCTATTTTAATCGTAGTTTAAACTTATATACAACATAAAATATGAAATCATATACTATAAATATACAAAAAATTATTTATATATAAAGATATTTTAATGAAATTTAAACATAAAAAGTAGTTATATTTAAATAAATAAAAAGTAGTTAGTACAATAGTAGTAATATTAAAACATAACCAAATATTCAAAAATAATCCACAAGATTTCAGACACATAAGGTAATCATGAACCTAATTTAATGAAACGGCGGCGGATCAGGCTCCGGCGACGGTAACTGAACGCGAGGAACCGTAACAACCGGCGGCGGCAGCATTTCCGCCGCCGGAGGAGAAGTTACGAACGGTAATGGCTGCGCCGGATCCTGCGGGATATTAACCAGCGGCGGCGGGAAGATTAGGTCTGGTGTTTGGGGCATCGGAAATGATGGAGTCTGGCCACCGCCGGGGAGATCAGTCGCCGGAGGATTGGTCACCGGCGGCGGGAAAAGGGGGAACGGAAATTCAGGCGACACCGGCAATTCAGGGGTGAGGATCGGAAACAGCGGCGGCGAGGAAAACAGCGGCGGAGATTCCGGTAACGGCGGCGGGAAGACAATTCCGGGCAGCGCCGGCGGCGGAAAGACGACGACCGGCGGCGCATCGGCGGGAGGCGTAAGCCACGGGAATATCGGAGGTGAGTCGCCGGGAAGCGGCGGCGAGGGGACCAACGGCGGCGGGTAAACAATCGGGATGATTTCCGGCGGCGGCGGCATCGGCGGAGCCGGCGGGGGAGGAGACGGGAGCACTGGCGGCGGAGGTGGGGAAGGTGATGGCGGCGGAGGCGGTGATGGAGACGGCGGCGCAGGTGACGGAGGCGACGCCGGTGGCGGCGATGCCGCCGGCGGCGGCGGCAGCGCCGTGGCGGGAGGTGGCGTGGATATCAGAGGCGGCGGGAGAGGTATCACCGGCGGCGAAGGTATCACCGGAGGTGGCAGAGGAATGAGCGGCGGACGTGCCGGCGGTCGTACCGGCGACCGTCGCCGGAAAGGGTTGTTCGGCGAGTTGCGACGGAACGGAAATCGGCCGCAGCTTCCGAACAAATATGAGTATAAAGGGTCGCAATTTCCTCCCCTCCTGCCGGTTCCTCGGCCGGTTCTTGATCCCGATCTTCTCCGTTTATCCGGTTCAAAATTAGGGTTTTGGGCCGCCGCCGATTGAGCCGCCGTTGAAGCAATCAAGATTAGGAGAAGAAATATGTAGAGAAGAATTCCACAGGCTTTCTTCTTCATTTTTTCTTTTTTAATTTATTTTTCGAATGATTTCTCTTTCAGCAGATTATTGAAACTACATTTGCATATAAATATAAATGTAAGAAAGATAAGATTAATGTTTTTGTTGTTCGCAAATTCCGATGATATGATAATACTCTTCTGTTTCGAAATTAAATATTTATTTACTTATTGCACGTAGTTTTAAAAATATTAGTATTATATTAAAATATAGTAGAAATAAAATAGAAATGATTAAAATAAAATAATCTTTATTAGTATGTGTGGTATAAAAGTAATGATATTTGTGTAATATATTGTAAGTTGTAAGGGTATTTGTAATGTTAGGTAGACAATACATTTACTAACAAATGAAATAAATACTCTGTTACGAGACGGACTAAAATGAAAAAATAGATATTTTGTTATGGAATTAAAGAAACAATTGAATTGAAAAGCAGTTGGGAAGATGGGAATTGAATTTTACGGCGATTGGTCGATGGGAGTGGCAATGGCAATGGCAGCCATTGTTATACGTGCCATTTTAATCCTCAATTGTCTGTAATAAATGCAGTTCTAACCCGTTGACATTGTGTCTAAAGTCATAACTTCTTTATATTTTTTACTTTTTAGGGTATGTTTATTTTTCGAGACAGTTTGAATGAATTATTTATTTATTTTTTTGATGTGAAGTAAAAATTATTGGTTAAGGAATATATATATATATATAATGACTATGTGTTAGATATATTTTTGTTAAAAGAACATACTCTTCATGTTTTTTATACCAAATCAAATTCCTAATATTAAAATTTTGTTTGTTTAGTGTTTTGATTTAAATTTTTTATTATTTTTTTTAATGTAAAATATAAAAATCGTATGATATAACAAATACTCCCTCAAAGTATTCATTTTTTTCATTTTAGTATATCTCATAACAAAGTATCCATTTTATTTTTTAGTAACTGTACTATTTATCTAACATTACCAATACCCTTACAACTTACAATATATTACACAAATGTCATTACCTTTATATCACACATAGTTATTTTAGTCATTTCTCATTTATTTCTACCACATCACAATATAATACTAATATTTCTAAAACTACGTGAAAAAAACAAATGAATATCTAATTATGAGACGGAAGAAGCATTATTTTATGTTATATATTATTTTTTTATAAAAAAAATAATTATATATTATAAATCGTATAGAAAATAAAGTATTAGGCAAACAAAACCTAATTTTGAAATAATACGAATTTGGGATTTGGCCGGACTGACTCTTCAAATCAAAATTAATTTTAATATACTTAGAACATACTAATTGGGCCTCTATTTTTAATATGCGGCCCATTTTCATAAATAGGCCGATCATACATTGGGCCTCTGACCCACTAACCCAATCTTTTAAAGTTATCATTATTTTGATTTTTTTATATATATAAAAAAAAATATTTTTATTTATTTATGAAGCCTTAATCATTCTTGTGAATATCTTGTTGCATCTAACTATTGTTTAAATACAGATAATAAGACTTAAGGGCATGAAATTAAATGGAATTGAAATTCAAAATAGAAGTACAGTGAATGGAATTAAATTACATTATATTATATTCACAATAATTTGAAAATAAATATATCATTAAAATTGTATTATTAGGTTTAAAATCATATAAAATTAAGGTGAATTTAAAATATTAAAAGTGATCAGTGTCACCAAATATTATAAAACAAAAGTACCAACAATGAATATTTATTCAATATTCTATTAAAAAATCATGATACACCCAACAAGTCATATCTTTTTCTTGAAAACAAAAAAAACCTATCTTATGCTTCATTCACTCAATTTTATTTATTTATTTATTTTTATTATTAAATTTTCATCATTTACATAAAATATATACTTACTTTCGTCCTTTTATTCGTAAGTACAAATAAAAATATAAAAAGAAAAAAAAAAATCTCTCTATCAATGTTGTATAATAGTAATGTAAAAATACTTTTTTAATGTTAAATACAATTACGTAAAAAGCAAATAGATATACTAAGGGGCGGAGGAAGTATAATTTATTTTTTTTGAAATTTTTTTTTTCTGTTATCTACATGTTTATTTTGAAATATGATATTTTAAAATTAATATGATATTTTTTTTATTAAATACTCCCTCCGTCCCAATACAATAGTCTTATTTACCATTTTTATTCGTCCCAAAATAATAGTCTTATTTCCATAAATAACCATATCACCGTAAAATTATCCTATTTTTTCATTTTACTTACACAATTGCCACTACGTTTTTACACGACAAAAAAATCTTTTATCCATACTTTTTATCAATTACCAATATAATATCAATATTTCTTAAACCCCGTGACCAATCCAACGAAGACTATATTTATGGGACAGAAGGAGTATAAGATAACATAATTTCTTTAGTATTTTTCTTAATATATATTTTTTTTATATTTTGTTTTTTTATACTGAAAATATTTTTAATTATGCCAATTTAACCTGCAGTTTATATTGCAATTAGTTGTGTAAGTACCGATTATTACCATATATTGTCACTTCATGATATCTATTGTGTAGTGAAATTAAAATGCCATTAATAATTAATCATGATGAGTACCTATTTGCCTCCAAATATAAATATATCTTTTTCAAGAAAATAAAAAAATAAAAAATCAATGATTTGTTTGTTTTGATTATTTTAAATATTCCTTCCATGGAACTAAAAATTTTGTAGTTAAAGCTGTGGACAAAAATAGAAATCTAAAGTTTGTTACGAATTATGGAGAGATATATATAGAAACAGACAGGTGTATTGTTAATGTTACGACACTCTCTGCAACCGTATGTTGTCTTTATTCACCTGCAAATTAATGATTATAATATTATTGCAAACATTTAAACCGTATATTATAAATAGACAATTATTATTATGTTAAAAATATAAAGTTAAATACGTATTATGATGTAGAGAGATACAATTCCGTACTCTCTTTGTCCGGCTCTAAGGGTTTTTACTTTCTACGTCATTGTGCTTAACATTAAAAATATCTTTATATTTATATAATATTTTTTTTGATAAAAATATCATTGTAATAGTATTACAAGACACTACTAGAAATATAAAAATATTTTTGCAATTTTGTCTTAATTTGTACTATATTTTCACATAATAATTAATATTTAAAAATAAACACGTAAAAAGCTGGACGAATATAGTATTATATAGTAAAAACATACAATATACAAAAAAATATAAATACGACATATGAAATGACAATATAGGAAATAATTTTACATTGCACATACTATAACTAATATAGGAAATAATTTTACATTGCACATACTATAACTAATTTTATTACAAAAAGTATACTAAATAGGGTTGGGATTTGAATAGTAAAAATTTTGAATTTAAATAGTTGTATGATGTGATATAAATAGGGTTTGATGTGATGTTTTGAATGTAAAATTGATTTTTAGTATAATATAAAAAATGAAAAATAGATGTTTGATTTGATGTTTTTGGGGGGAAAAAATTGGATGAATAGTGGAAATCCACCAAAATCCTTCAAACAAACACATCCTAAGGGTGTGTTCCTTTGTAAGATTTTACAAAAATCTTACTATTCATCCAATTTTTTTTCCCCAAAAAACATCAAATCAAACACCTATTTTTTATATTATACTAAAAATCAATTTTACATTCAAAACATCACATCAACACCTATTTATATCACATCATATAACTATTCAAATCCTAACTCGAAATCCAAAGCAGTCTAATATTATATGTGTGTTGTAATATTATTATAAGATTGGCCAATAAAAATATTAATTATTTATACCGCTAATCACTATTTTATATTTTGTATTATATAATATATATATGTAATGGGTATATATATAGATCGTATGTGTGCAGCCATGTGTGTGTGAATATAATATATATATAGTATGTATGCTAGTATATATATATATATTATTATAATGTATGTATGTGAAAGTGGGGAAGAAAAATAATTACATAGATAGAATAAAAATGAGATGTATGTTGATTTCATTCCTTCCATTACTATTTATACACGCGAGTACACCACAACGAAATAATTAAAAGCATACAGTACATGCACATCGTGTGCGTTACATATACAATAATGTGTATTTTTATTTGACATAATGTATATATATAACGTAAAATAAAAATATATACTATTTAATTGATTATATATATATGTGACGTCATATCAATTTTTTCTGTCAGCATTATAACCATTTCATATTATAAATTAACTAGTATAAATTAATTCTATGGGCCTAATTTAAATGAATATATTACTATTATTTATTTTTTTCTCAAAAATATTATTATTATTATTATTTAATTTGAAATATTTTTAAGACAAAAGCAAAAAATGTTTGTTATAAAAAGTAGTGCAAACTGCAAAGTGGAATGGGCTTATAAAACACAAACCCCCTTTTTAGGTGCAACAAAAATTATTTTATCTAAAAAATATATCATTCATTCAAAAATAATTGAACTATGATACAAATAAATAAATAAAAGATCTAATGAATATCTAAGTTTAGACCATATGAAAAAGAAGTTGTTACAACATCTTTGTCTTCTATTGCACAACCACTTGTCCATTTAAATTAATTAATAAATCATTATAATGATGATACATGCACATGCCCCCTTTCACTAATTCAAAATTTTTTATTTTTTTATTTTATTTATTTATTATTATTATTATTACAATGATTATTGAATTATTATTAATTTAGTCTTCTATACAACCCTTTATATTTATTGCATTCTTTGTTGGTTTGTGACACTTTTTTTCAACAATTTGTCAACCAATTCAATTCAATGGATTGCTTTGACACTATTAATATTATTACTTCAAACCATTCATGTATATTTTACTATTTTTATGATTTAATTTTATAAGTTTTTCTTTAAAATCATTGCATTCACTATCAAAATTTCATATATATAACACTATTTCATCTGTCCGCCTTTAAGGGTCACAACTATATTATGCGTTATTGTATTTAACATTAAAAATATCTTACATTTGTATAATTTTTTGTACAAATATTATTCTATTAGTATTATAAGACACTAATTGAAGTATTTTTGCAATTTTTTTTTCTTAATTTATACCATATTTTGATAAAATAATTAATATTTAAATATTAACATTAAAAAAATAAATAGGTCCTTAAATCATACAGAGGTAGTATTGGTTTTGTATTTCAGCTTTATATTTTGGTTTAGGTATTAGTTTATATTTATAAGAAAAAATAAAAATTAAGAAGCCTAGAAAATAAATACCATTAAGTTAAGAAGCAAATGTTGAGTTTGATTGGCTATATATGTATCTTTTTTGTCAATTAAATTTTTTAATATTCCTTCCGTCCTAATATAATAGTTTTGTTTATCATATTTGTTCTTTAAAAAATAATAGTTTCATTTTCATAAATAATCATATCACTGTAAAACTATCTTTACTTTTTCATTATTATTACACAATTGACACAAAAGGTAAAAAAGTCATTTATCTTTACTTTTTACTAACTAGTCTAACACAATAAGACTATTTTTTGGGACGAAGGGAGCATATATTTTTAAGTGCGGAATACATTCGCAAATTTCTCAAAATTATACTCATTTAACTTGAATTATTATATTAAATTAAAATATAAAAATAAAACATAATCTTTAAACATAAAAAATGTCCCCCAAAAAATATTAACATATATTCTTTAGATCTCAATTGAGAGTATCATTTTTGTATATTTTTCTCAAAATTATCTCTTTTATATTGTAATAAAAGTAATCACATAGTAATATTAAAATATCATTTAATTTTATATAATTTATAAATATATTATTATATATACAATTAATTCATACATAAGTAAATGACAAAAATATTACAACCATCTTATACATTTGCACGAATTAATAAAATATTATTATTTTAAAATTTACTATAAAAAAAAACCTATTTCTTAATTTATCAATGGACAAATAGAGTATGGCGTTTTGAATGACTAGTGCTCTTTTTAATACTCCATTAATCCAGAACTAACGGCCTATTTTTTCTATTTGGAAGGTCTAATAATTATTGTCAATCTTTTTATTTTTATACATAAAATTTACACTTTTACCTTTACTCTATTTATTCTTTCATTTTCTATACACAAAATTGAGGGCAAATTTATCATTTTATAATAAAAATCTTAATCGCCTAAAACTGCATGTAAATATCAAATTAAAATATTAGAAAATGGATAGAGGGAGTATATTATAGTAATATATATATATATAGATATATATTTTCTGAAAAATTACTGTATGTAGTGAAAACAAATAGTATTTGTAAATACAATCTTATAAATCCATTTGTATCTTTGTCATTTATTCAAGGGGTGCCATTATTTAATATTACATCATTTATAATTTTTAATATCAATTAAACTATTTAATTATATTAATTTTAATTTATATTTATTTTTATTAATATATTTTTAATTATTTACTAATTATATTTTATTTAAATTCCTACGTCTACGCTAATAAAGATAATTTATTCGATCGTAAAATGTAACGGTACATATATGATTCTTCATAATAATTAAAAAGTTTGAAAAATAGAAATTATAATAAAATGTGTGTGGATATTGGTTGAATACTGTCGGTGCAATTAATTTCCAATGGTACAACAACAGCTCACTACAACCACATTATAAAAATAAATAAAAAATTATACACCATAATATTGCTATAATTAGTTGTAATCATATTAATTTGACAATTTAAAATTTAAATAAAATCATTACCAAAAAGTAGTTAAAATGATTGCGGGGTTTAAATTTTCTTTAGAAAAAAAAAAAGAGGTTACATTCTAATTTTTCTTCTTATTTTTTTTTCTATTATTTAATAAAAAAGTACTTTTAAAAAAAAATTAATAATAATTGTATTTTAATATAAATATGATAAATAAAAGATAAAATTTAAATATTAAAGAATTAGATAAAAATAATAAAATAAATGGTTTATTGTTTGTTAAAGTATGTATAATAAAAATTACAAATAAATAAAATAATTTCTTGTAAATTTTTATACATAAAATTTGACATGAATATTCTGAATTAAGAAAATATATTTTATTTTTAAATTATTAAATTAAAAAATTATAAATTAAAAATACAAAATTAGGAGTACTTAAAAAAGCCACTTTCCGCAACTCAGGTAGGATGTTAGAAGGTCCGGGACCTCTGCGCCAGAGAAGCCCATTCTCAATATTGTACCCCAGTCCAGGACCTCCCAAGAATCACCGTAGTAGGTTTTTTCTGTTCATCATCGTCTTCCCCATCAAAAGGTATTTTCAGTCAGTCCCATCCCTGTCTAGAGAGAGAGAGAGAAAGAAAGAAGATGTTGCTGCAGGTTTTAATTTTTAATTTTTTGTTTAAAAGATTTAAATTAAATAAAAAAAAAGTTTTTCGAAAACCCATTCATTCATTAATCTGTTTGTTTCTCTCTCTTCTTCCTTCCTATTGCTCTGTCCCTTTCCTTTGTTTTTCCACTCAATCCATGGCACAAAACGTGACCTTCTTCATTTCTAGAGAGCGAAACTGAGCAACTTTACCTTTAATAACCGCCACATTATTGCAAATTTTGCACTTCAAAAAAAAAGAAAAAAGGGTTAGAGCAAGAAAAAGGACTGTCCTTTTGCTTTTTTTTTTTTTTAGTTTCTGTCAGTCCTTTTTCCTTTCATAAAGAAAGCAAAAACCTGAGAATAATTTTACTCTGAAGAAGAAGAAGAAGAACTCCAAGCTTGTATAAGCATTTCAAATTTGAATTTGAAATTCCAAAAAAAAAAAAAGTGAAATGAAGGGCTTGTTCATGTTCTTGGCGATGATTTCTGTCTGGATTTCGATTTTTGCTTCATCTTCTTCATCTCCAGTCGATGTTAAAGCTGATCCTCCCGTTGCTGATCCTGTTCTTCCCATCCAGAGAGAGCCATTCTTCAAGAACTCCTCTGATCTGATTGCTCATCCTCCAGGTAATCAATCAAATCCCCAAAAATTAGGGTTTTCAATTTCTTGCAATTTAGGGATGTGGGGATTTAGGGTTTTCAAATTGAAGAAACAACAATGGCGATTAGGGCTTCGGAAATCTGATTTTAACTCAATTTCGATGACTTTAGATGTGAAAGTGGTAGTTCACCATCAGGATTTGAACAAGAATCTCCTCATTGCCCTCGTCGTCTCTTCATCACTTCTTGCTGCAATTCTGCTCGGAATTTCCTGTTTCTTCATTTACAGAGTGAAGTTCTTGAAGAAATTCCATGAAACTGATCGAAATTCAGGTGCTGATTCGACAAATTCTGGTTTTTTTTTTTTTTTTTTAACTGAATGTTGATGTTTGTTGATGTCTGTGTTCTTGAACTTTGCAGTTGTTAATTTGTTGAAAATCAATGGCAAGAAGGGCTCCATTGCTGCCATTGATTACCAGTTATTGGTTATTGCCACGAGCAATTTCGACGATTCAAATATTCTCGGACAAGGCGGGCTTGGTGTAGTTTATAAAGCTCATTTCAATGATAACTTCCATGCCGCCGTTAAGAGGATATACGGCGGCGGGCATGACGCCGTGAGGGAGTTCGAGGTAATGTAGATGTGATCTTAGCAATATGTTTGTTGTTTTTGGATTGATTATCGAATGCTCGGCTTTGATCGTGTGATTTTCGATGTTTTTGTTGTGGTAAAGACTCGATTTTGCTAGTTGTTCTTTCTTTGTGTTTTGATTTTTCAATGTGTTTGTTGGCGAAATCGAATGTGGATGAGAAGTAGGTTTTGGTTTTTGTTGGTTTTTAGGTGAAAATTGTGGTTGGATCCGATGTTTTGTATGAAAAATAGGTATGGCTTTGTTTCTTTTGCCTTAAGTCACATGTTCTTATTATTTGGATAACATACATTTTTTACTCTCACAAAATATCTCATCATATATTATTTTAATACCAAACTCATCAAAAGAAACATATACTCCCTCCGATCCTAATGAAAAGGTCTTTGGGATTTTGTAGTAGATTAAGAAATAATTGTATTTTATTAGTCGGGTGGCCCTTTTTTGGTCTTTGACTTATATGTATAAAGTAAAATGCATGTAATGATATGTTTGTAATTTAATTAAAAGTTAAGAGTATTTTGATATTAGTGGTATGATTATTTTTTCTAAAATAGGAAATGAAGACAGACGAACATGGTAAAAAGGATCATTTGAATTGGAAGGGAGGGAATATATGTATTTATTAGAAACGGCGAGATTGTGTAGTAAAAACAACTAAAAAGTCGCGTTTATGCTGTGATTTTTTCAATGTGTTTTAGTTATAGAAAAGACTCAATTTTTCTTGTTCCTCATGCTTTGTTTGTTCAATGCGTTTCCGAAAATGAACAAGTTATAAGTTTTGGTTTTTGTCGTTTTTTAGGTGAAATAGTGATTGGATGTGATGTTTCTTATCTTATAAACGATGAAGCTATACTTTAAAAATTGCGAAATTGTTTCTTCCAGAGAAGACTTGATTTTGCAAGTTCGTGCCGTGGTTTTTTTGATGTGCTTTTTTTTATGGAAAAGAATCGATTTTGCTCGTGCCTCTTCGCGTGTGATTTCGATGTGTTTGTTATTTTTTTTATTTTTTATTTTTTTTCTAATGGAAAATTATCGCTCGATTTTGCTCATTCTTCTTCGTGAAACAAATGCAGAACGAGGTCGAGGCGCTGAGTAAAATTCGACACCAGAACATAGTTTCTCTTTTGGGCTATTGCATACACAACGAAGCACGGTTCTTGATTTACGAAATCATGGAGAACGGCTCGCTCGATTTCCATCTACACGGTAAGATTTTATTTTATTTTTCGCCGTAAAAGTTTGAATCTTATTATATTGTAATTCAATTTTCCGAAAAGCTGATTCGATTCCTTGCACAGGCCCGTCGCACGGATCGGCATTGACGTGGCAAATGAGAATGAAAATTGCGCTGGATGTCGCAAGGTAGTACCGATTCTCGACTCTCGATTCTCCAATTTCGATATATATAATAGTCGTAATCCATTTTATGACATCAATGAGTTTTTATTGCAATCGAAAAACAGAGGATTGGAGTACCTTCACGAGCATTGCAACCCTCCGGTAATCCATCGAGATCTCAAATCGTCCAACATTCTCCTCGATTCCAAATTCAACGCAAAGGTAAAAAAAATGCTCCTAAAAACGATATCTTTCAACGTATTTCTCGAATGTACTAAAAAGTTTCGATCGATTTCCAGCTGTCCGATTTCGGGCTGGCGATGATTTCCGGAGGAAGCTCGAACAAGGCCAACATCAAGCTTTCGGGAAGCGTAGGTTACGTAGCGCCGGAGTATCTACTCGACGGTAAAAGTTCGTATAATTTTTCTCGATGTATGAATCGAACGAAATCGTAATTCATCGATAAAAACGAACAGGTAAACTTACCGATAAAAGCGACGTTTACGCATTCGGCGTGATTCTATTAGAGCTTCTGATGGGAAGACGCCCCGTCGAAAGAGTCTCCGAAGCACAATGCCAATCAATCGTGACGTGGGTAAGTCGATCGTAAATTCGATTTAGTCGTCGATTTTTATTACGGCCGTCGATCTAAACGTCGGATTGACCCGTCTTCTTCAACGCAGGCGATGCCTCAGCTGACGGACAGATCGAAGCTTCCGAATATCGTCGATCCGGCGATCAAGAACTCGATGGACTTGAAACATTTGTATCAAGTACGTTTGATTCGATTCTCGATCTTCAATCGATTTTATTATAATCGACTTGATTTTACAGGTACTGATAATCGTAATTTTCGTCGACAGGTAGCGGCGATCGCAGTATTGTGCGTGCAGCCGGAGCCGAGCTACAGGCCGCTGATAACGGACGTTCTACACTCGTTTATGCCGCTCGTGCCTGTCGATCTCGGAGGATCGCTGAGGCTGACCGAACCCGCCGCCGCCGGCGGCGCGCCGTGATCGGAGATTGTATAGCTTCCACTCTCGCCGGAAAATTGAAGTTGCTGGTTAAGAATTGATTCGAAGAAATTTTGTTATGATCTGTTTTATTACATCGTCTCCATGATTGTCTCTACTGGATTCGTCTTTGTATATATAGTTATTTGATTTTATTTCTATGTTACTTCACAAAAATTTAGAGAAGTATAATTATAATTGAAAAGTATATTAATAAAAATAATTAATTTATAATACGTATCATTATTTAATCTTATAATTAAGATTAAAATAATAAAATAGTTTAATTAAAAATTTTTAAAAATAAAATTATAAAATTTAAAATATAATTAAATTGTATAGTTATTTTTTTAAAATTAAATAAACAAAATATGTGATACAGTCAAAAAAAAAAAAAAATTGAATATGTAATATGGAACTAATTAGTACTCATCGGGTTTGTGATGCTAGGCCCGACCCGGCCCGGCTCGGATTAAATAATAATAAATTCAAATTTAGTTACTTTTAAAAAATATAGGGTGTTCCTTTTTAAAAATATATATATATTTTTTCAAAAAATTTAGTATATGACACGTACTTATTATTTTTATATTACCTACATAATTTTTCTACGTCTCAAATAAAAGTATTTTTTCAAAAGATTTAAACTTTGAATTTAAAATAGTAAATAATTTCTAACGTTTACATATTTTTATTTTTGTTCTTCCAATTCAAAAGTTTATATATATATATATATATTTAAACCGTGAATCCTACTACTAACTATTAATACATTTTTGTACATTTATTTATCATTTTACTTTCATTTTATCTCACATTTATATATAAAAGTAAGAATAATTTAATTTTTACACTGTTATATTTACTAACTATTATTAAAATATTAATAATCTTTAATTCGCATGCAAAAGTAATGGTAAATTTTAAAGTTTGAACGAAAATATTCCTTCCGTCCCGAAACTAAGTATCCATTTGTTTTTTGCATGTAATTTTAGAAATATTAATATTATATTGGGATATAGTAGGAATAAAGTAGAAATAACTAAAATAACCTTATTAGTATGTGTGATATAAAGATAATGACATTTGTGTAATATATTATAAATTGTAAGAGTATTTGTAATGTTAGGTAGATAGTACAGTTACTAAAAAAAAAAATGAATACTTTGTTACGAGACAGACTAAAATGGAAAAATAGATACTTTGTTATGGGACGGAGGGAGTAGTATTTTTAAATTTTCTACATATAAATAAATAGTAAAAATTTACCAAAATTTTTGAAACAAACATATTGTCTTCCCCTCTATATGCTGAAGCCTCTTGTTTTTATGTAAAATTGTATGTGTTGTTTATATTTATATTGTAGGCTAATTATCTCTTTGCTACGTATTATCAATAAGGTGCTTCAATTTTCTATTCAACATTGTAATCGCCACTTTAGTTCGCAATCATTCGCCCCTCTACTAAAACTAATAAAATAAATAAATAAAAGGTAAAGGTTTTTTTTTTCGTATCTGACTCATTTTATTATTTTTGGACCATGTTTAAAAATAGTCTTGTAAGTAAAAATTTTCGTTAAAATGATCATCCGGTGCCCGGACTTGCCATGTTGGTCCTTCGTTGCTGATATGACGCTGGTGCGGCTGACATGTCATTGCCATGTAGATGCCACATCAGCAACACGTGGATTTTTTTTACTCCCTTCGTCCGAGAACTATAGTCTTAATTGGATTGGACACGATTTAAGGAATATTGATATTATATTGGTAATTTGTAAAAAATATGGATAAAAGACTTTTTTGCCCTTGTGATTGTATTAGTGTAAAAAGTAGTGACAATTGTGTAATAAAAAAATATGGGTAGTTTTATGGTAATACGACTATTTATGAAAATAAGACTATTGTTTTGAGACGGACAAAAATAGTAAACAAGACTATTGTATTGGGACGGATGGAGTATTATGTTTTACAAAATGTCTTAATAAACTATTTTTTAATCCCGTATACGACATAATTTATTATTTTTAGAACTTTAAATGGACAATGTTTGAAAATACTCCTGCAAATAATTTTTTTTTCGCTAAAATGATCATCCGACATGACATCTACGTGGCGATGACATGTCAACTGTGTCAGCGCCACATCAACAATGGCGAACCAGCGTGGTAAGTCCAGCACCAAATGACTATTTTAGCAAAAAAATTTTACTTACAAGACTATTTTCAAATATAGTTTACTTAAAATTTTAAAATTATAAAATATGATAGATAGGGAACTAAAATAAATAGGGTTGTGCAAATTTATTGTAAAGGACCATTAGGAAAATGAAAAGTAGATAAATGTAATCTTGATCCATTCTATGGCCATGTGACCAAATATAAGACACAAAAAAGGTTCGTTGAGTGAGGACAAGAAATACCACGTGCTTAATATAATCGAAGTTGTGGGCAAAGTCCACCACGAACATGCCTTTGTACCCTCGTCCACATGAAAGATGGTAAGAATTAAGACTTCCATTGATTCCAATAATAAAATTTTTGAATACAATATGGGTGTGTTTGTTTGGGGGTTTGAATTTTGAGTTGGGATTTGAATAGTAAAAATTTTGAATTTGAATAGTTGTATGATGTGATATAAATAGGTGATGATGTGATGTTTTGAATGTAAAATTGATTTTTAGTATAATATAAAAAATGAAAAATAGGTGTTTGATTTGATGTTTTTGGGGGGAAAATTTTGGATGCACAGTGGAATTTAATCCAAATCCATCAAACGAACACACCCTATATATATATATATTTTAATATTTGGATAAAAAAAGAAAAAAATATTTTATTAACATGTAAAAGTAAAAATATAGTTTAAAATATTTTTAAAAATTTAATTAGCAATTTGAAAAAAAAAAAGGGTACGTCGTAAAGATAATGACATTTGTTATAAATAAATTTGGAATGAAATGTAATACACTATTATATACACTATTAAGGGTGTGTTTGTTTGGGGGTTTAGATTTTGAGTTGAAATTTGAATAGTAAAAATTTTGAATTCGAATAGTTGTACGATGTGATATAAATAGGTGTTGATGTGATGTTTTGAATGTAAAATTGATTTTTAATATAATATAAAAAATAAAAAATAGGTGTTTGATTTGATATTTTTAAGAAAAAAAATTGAAATAAATAGAATATTTAAAATCAAATTCCCCAAACAAATGTCATTTTAAAATCACAAAATCATGCTTTTTTGGCAATATATATATAAGTGGATCTATATAAGATTAATCTCATTATATATATATATATAACCTTTTTGCATGTGAAATTAATTATAATTTATAATAAATCTACATGTTTGATGCTAGGTGAGCTTTCATAACTGCATCAACAATGTCCATCAAAATTATAACAAAAATAATTAAATCTACATAAATTATTTTGAAATTAAACTAAATTTGTATAAAAACAGATACAGTGACACTATTATTATCACGAACCAATCTATATTTGGATTAAAAATACTTTTTTTTTTCCCTTTTATATAATATATATTGCTATTTTTCATCTGATTAATATTAATTAATTTTATTAAAAAATAATTATATATATTTTAAAAATAAATAAACATAATTCAAATTTTGGAATTGTAATACTCCATCACGCGGTGAATAGGGATGGGAATAGGCCAGGTAGTCTGTCGGGGGCCTACGGCTTGGCCTGATCTGTTTACTAGAAAGGTCAAATGAAAAAAAAATTTAAAACCTTTTTGTTTAAATAGAACAGAGAAGTTTTTTTAATAAACAGACCAGCTTATTTATTATTATATATTAAAAATAAATTTTTATTTAATAATAATATTATTAAATAATTTTAATTATAAATTTATAATAAAAAAATAGAATTTTTAATTTTTATATATATTAAATAATTGTATATATATATTTTTATTTCTAATTAAATTTGCAAATAAATAAATAAATATATTATATAATCTTTTAAGTAGGCTTATCGACTCAGCTAAACTTTTAAATAGACTAAGCTCAGACTTTAAAAAAAAAAATTCAGACTAACAAATCAGATATTTTTAAAACAGGCCACAGGTATAGCATGACCTATTTCCACCGCTAGTGGTGAAGCAAGTCTTTTGTAACAGGGATTTGACCTTTGTTTACGTACAATATTTTTAATATTAAATTGTATATATTATTAAAAAATATTACACTATTAATATTTATTTATATTATAGTAAATATATATAATTTTTATTTTAATTTTTCGAAACATTGGTTGGACTTGACTGTATTGTACCTTTGACTACCTCATATGTTTATTTTATATTTTATTACTCTATTTATCTACAAAATTTATTTTTATTTTTATTTTTTATAAATTATCTATCACTAGATTTGACTAACAAGTCAAAAAAATTATATTTAATTATTATTTTTAATTTACTTCTTATTGATCATAATTATCATTAATTTTATTATATATTTTTATTTTTTAATTATTAACTAAATGTTTAAAAATATTCTTGACTATTTTTTATTTTTAATAAAATATTTATTTTTGTTATTAATGTACAAAATCTTAATTAACTAAAATATAACGGACGAATGAAATATTATTTTTTGAAATAATACTGTATTGACAGGCGACAAATCAATTCCGCTTTAAATTTTTCTATCAATAAAAAGTCAAATATCATATAGTTTTAATTAACACATATATATAGTGTATTAGTTGAAACTATATGGTAACAATTTTATTTATAGGTTGTGCTATATGGACATCTTTTATGTATTGAAGGTGAAATATATACTTTGTCGACAATTATTTTTTGTTATAAAATGGAAAAGAACACCTTTTTTTTTTTTTATGATAGCTAATAATAATAATAATAATAATAATATTTTGTCATTTAAATTTTTTTTTTATTTTTTATTATTTTGTTATTTAAATTTATTCTAGTTTTATTTTCTAATAAAAATATATTATTTTTTTCTTATTTTTTACGTCGTTAAAATGAACATCATTTTAACGCCGGGAAACGTAATAAAATAGTACATTATTATTATCATTACAAAAGACAATCGGATAAAAAAAACAAAAAGACAACCTTAATTTGTGCTACAATGGGATAGTCCTCAGAACTCAGGCGGGGTGCTGTAATCCAGGAGCTCCTGAATCATCTGCTCAATATCCTCATCTTCCTCAGATTTCAACTCCCGACGGCCTCCCTCCGCCGCATTCCCCGGCGGCGGATGCGGCGGCGCCGGCGCCAGTTGTTTTTTTGCGACCATTTTCAGGGACGCCACGTGGCAGTCGTGCAACTTGGCCATTAGCGCGGCGGAGAGCAGCCGCGGCCCGCTCTGCTCAAAATTGGCCCTGGCCCGAGCCCGCGGCCCGCCCATGATCCTCGCCGCCTCGTCGTAGGCCGCCGCCGCGTCCTCCGCCGTCTCGAAGGTGCCCAGCCATATCCGCGTCTTCCTAAAAGGTGGGACCCGCCAATAAAACATTAATTAATTTAATTTAAATAATCTAGATAATAAATTAATTAATTAAGAGTTCACGGCGACGGCGACGGCGGCCGGCCGGCCGTGGGGGAATTTACTTACAGCAAGGGGTGGCGAATCTCGGAGACCCAAGAGCCCCAGTGGCGCTGCCGGACGCCGCGGTAGCGCCGCTGCGGCTGCGGCGGCGGCGGTGGTTGTCTGGGCATTAATTGTTGCTGGTTTGTACTGTAGTTAATTAATGCGCGGGAGATGTTGGGGAAAAGTCCTATGAAGGAATTTTGGGGTGTGTTGGGGTTTATGTAACCACAGATTGCGGCCTTCACCTGCCAATTTAATTAATTAATTAATATGCCTTTTTTCGACCCTATAAATTAAAAATACGTAGGTACTCTTTGCATTCTGGATATAGTATTTTTTTTTTTTTTTTTTTTTTTATAAGTTAGAAATCCGCAATTTCTATCCGGAAATCTGTGTAAATTTTTTATCGAATCTAATATTCTACAAATTAAATTTAACAAGACAAGTTAACTAGGCGAATTATATGTAACAAGTGGATCCGAAAACTTTTGAATTAATAATTTTACGGTCGCAAATTCACTATAAATATAAAAAATCGAAAGAAAAATATAATTGATAAATAATTTAAAATATATTAATAAAAATAGATATAATACAATACAAATAGTTGTATATTAAAATTAAGATAATAAATACCTTTAGTTTAAAAAAAATTAAAAAATATTGTACATTTAAAAAAATTAAAATATAATTAAAGTGTAAATATTAAAAATAAATAAATAACATAACATAAGATATGAGATGTACTGTATATATGATATATGAGACAGAAAAATAATTATTTTTTACTATATTTATTGTTATTTGAAGCTACACATAAGAAAATATGTATATTTGTAATTTGAGATCAAACACTGTTAAATAAAAATAATTGAGATAAATGCAAAATTTATGAAATTACAGATAATCTGATACAGTTTTAAAACATAAAAAATTTGGTAAAATTTTGTAAATTTAATGATGAATATTATGCAATTTTGCCTATAGATAATTAGAGAAAACATAGTCTAATTTTTTACTATGCACAATATTCATGATTTTTTTTTTAAAAAAAAATATATTATTTTTCTAATAAAATATTTATCTTTACTATTCCAAAACTCTTCAAAATAAAAATATTTTAAAAACTCCAATATAAACAGAGTCCTATAATGTATCTGTTTTATAAAATATAATTTGAAGAGATGTTTTTATATGAAGTATAAAAAATTATATATGTAATAAAAATAGTAAATATATTTAATATATTAATTTGTTTTAGAAATATATAGGTTTGGAAAACAAAAAAAAAACAGACCACTGGTTTATGATAATTTTTAATATTTTGAGGAAAAAAAAATGAATATTTAATACTACTATATTTTGTGTGAAAATTATATATTTAATGTGATACTTGTTTTACCAAAAGTGAGTAATAATTGTTATTTTTTTTATAGTAAAAAAAAGTACAAAAGTGTAATTATTTTTTACTTAAAAAAGAAATGAGAATATTTTTGATGACAACCTTAAAAGGAAAATGGGCATAGATTTGAACTACGGAGGAAGTACTACTTTTTAAAATATATATAATTCTATTTTTTTTTTAATACTGTAAGAATTTGCCGTCATTAATTTTTTTCAAATGCGCTATTGATAACTTTTTGGTCGAATTTAATAATCTACAAATTATGCGAACCATATGTAACAAATAAGACCTCGAGATATCGAAAATTTAAACTTACTGGGCTAATTTTATTAATTTCTAGAGAGAGAGAGAGAGGGGGAGAGAGAGAATGTAGTAGTTTGAGAGCAAGAAAATGAATTGCATCTTGGCCAAGAACATGGCTTCCAAACCAGGGGGGGTGTTATGTCTATTTTTATACACATAATACATATAGATATAGATATGTATGAACATTACAACATATATTTTATATTATTTTATTTATATACAACATTTGGAAGATAGTAAAAACAGTCCATATGTGTGTGTAAAACAAATTAAAATAAAATAGGAAAATAGATGTGACCATGTGCCTCATTACAAGTGCCAATGCTCAATCAACATTCAACAATGAATCCATAAAAGTTAGAGAATAAATATATATATATATAAATAAATAAATAAAAATAAAGGTAGTTTTAAAAAATTTCGATGTTTTTATAGTCGAATATAAAATTTAGGTAAAATAACTCAGTAACATTTCTATATATTCAAAATTCAGTGTAAATTTTCGTTTACTTTAAAAGTTGCATAATGCCCAAATATAGATGAGAAATTATCTTCTTATCACACAAAAAATTGTAAAAAGAGATTTCATGCAATATTTTTTTAAATATATGGGGCGTCATACAATTTTTTAAATATTTAGAAATTTACGCTGAATTTTGAAATTATGGAAGAATTATGACAATTTTGTGCTAAAACTTATTTAATGAGACTTACCTGAGTGACAGTGATTTTATTCAAATTTTTATATTGCTAGTGAGATTTTGTTTTGTATTTAATAATAAAATTTGGAATTAAAATATTTATTTTATAAAATATAAATATGTATTAATATAATATTTTTAATGTAAAATAAATTTTAATTTAATATAATAAATAAATAAAAATAAATATTTAAATTTAATATTTTTTTAAAAAAATTTTATTGAAATAATAAAATTATTAAAAACCTCTCAAATAAATAAAACCGTAATGCATAAAAACTCTAATTATTATATAGTGGAGTATTGATTATTGTTGCCTTGTGGCAGCTATTTTTGACCATCATATCATTTATACATTTATTTATTTATTTATATTTTTAAATTGTTTTATAATATATTTTTATTTTAAAATATTTTAAAATTTGATGAAACTAAGTATTACATGTAATTTTAATTGAAAAGGTAAGTTTTAAAATATGATATCACTTTGTTTCGAATTTATTATTTTATCATTTTAATTTGAGATGTTTATTAAAAAAATTTTGGCTAAAGTTTTGGAATAGATATTATAATTATTTTGCTTAAAGAGTTGGGGAAAGAAAAAAGCATATATATATTGTAAAAAATCATTAAATTAAATATTTATTTTTATTTAATATATTTTACACAAAAATAAAATTTTCATTAGAAAAATAATATCAAATATTTATTATTTCCAAATCCTAAAACCTAATTCCAAGTTTAAAAGAACAATATTTGGTGTACTTTTGTTCTTTTTGACACATATATTTTGGGTCCCCTAAATTCACAAAGGCTAGGTTGTGCTTCTTTTTATTTTTAAAAAATACTTCCTCCATTCCAGATACCATGTCCACGTTGCCGTTTCTATCCGTCCCACGTACTATGTCATTTTTTTTTTGGAAAATGATTACACACTTTAATCTCATTTTAATTTTTTTAATTTTATTTTTTAAATTTTAATTAAACTAATTAGTTATCTTAATCTTAATTTATAATTATTTATATTATAGGATAATTATTTTCACTAATACATTCTTAATTATCTATTAATTATATCATTCCTAAAATACCGTGTCTACGGTGTAGCAGACACGGTATCTGGGAGGGATGGAGTATTACATTAATTCACTAACAATACACATATAAGATCCACATATGTCGGAGATTTGAACTCATAACTTCACGGTCTCGAACTAATTTTACAATAAGGGTAAGCATTGATCGGTTCAAATCGAAAAATAATATATAAATATATATTATAATTTTGAATATTTATATTTGACCGTATATGTAACATATATATTGCTCACTCTATTGTACATAAATTGTCCTTTTTTTTTTTTTTTCGGTTCATCCCACATTTGTCTTTTCGTTTTTATAAAATATAATTATACATTTTAATCCCATTTTAAAATTCATAATTTATACTTTTCTTAATTTTAATTAAACTATTTAGTTACCTTGATCTTAGGGTGTGTTTGTTTGGAGGAATTTCCCAATTTCCATTATTCATCCAATTTTTTTCTCCAAAATATATTAAATCAAATACTTATTTTTTATTTTTTTATATTATAATAAAAATTAATTTTACATTCAAAACATCACATGAACAACCTATTTGTATCATATCAACAACTATTCTAATTCAATTTTTGTACGCTATCAATTCCAAATCAAAATTCAAACCCCCATACAAACACACTCTTAATTTATAATTATTTCTATTATATAATAATTATTTTGACTTATTTATTAATTATTTACTAATTATATTTTAGCTAAATTTATGTATCTGCAGTAACGTGGACAATTTATTCGAACGAAAAGAGTAATAAATAAAAGTTCGGTTTGTTCAATTTTAAATTGAGCCGAATTAATTTGATTTGATTTAATTAGTTTTGCAAAACTTTGAATGAAAGTAATAATTAAATATTATATTTTTGACTTTTTCAAATATACTACTTGAATAAATTTAACAAAAAAAAAATAATAAATTTGATGAAAAAAAGAACAGTAAGATTTTTAAATTGTTGTATAAAAAATAAATACATATTTTTTTAAGTAGACGAAAGAGGTATTGTTTTAACCCAACAAATATTACCATACAAAAGGAAAGTGATAAATTAAGAACAGAAAAATTCAATAAAAAAGGTTTTTTTATATATTGACTTTTTTTTTGAGAAAAAAAAAGGATTTTGATTATAATATTTTATCAAGAAAGAATAATTAAATAGTATCTTTTTATAAAAACCCGTCATGATTAAATAATAAATAATACTTCCTCTATTCCACATAATTTAGTCCTATTTTTTTACTTTCGTCAGTCCCACATAATTTGTCATTTCTTTTTTTTTGGAAAATTAATTATACACTTTAATCATATTTTAAAATTTAAATTTTTTTAATCTTAATTAAACTATTTAGTTATCTTAATTTTAATCTATAATTATTTTTACTAAACAATAATTATTTTTACTAATACATTTCTTAATTATTTACTAATTATATTTTACCTAAATTCTCGTGTATACAATAATACACATATATTACATGGAACGGAGAGGGTAATAATAATAATAAAACAAAATTTCAAATTAGTAATCAAATATAGAATTTAAAATTTAGTTTAAATAGTATTTTGATACAATATTTTACTGTAATAAAAATAATATTATATTTTATTAAAATAATACGAAAGAAATAATATTAATTTGTATTTGAATGTAATCTAAATACAGCCTTTGACCTTTCCTACATTTTCGTTTCCTTTTATGGGCCT